AGTATTAAGTCAAAGCTTCCACATCCTGTGTTTGTGCAGTTCAGTTTTGGATCTGAGCACTGGATGTTACAGTGCTTCCCATTACTTTTTTCTGTTTGATTTGCTCCACTGCCCAGATGCTTCTGTCACCACACCTCCTGTTAACCCCTCCATGCCCTGGCATTCATAATCTAGTCACCAGGACACACCTCTTCTGACAATGCTCAGTAGCCAGAGCTAACACATTTTCAAGAAAAACTTTATGCTTGCAAGCATATATGATACAGTACTCATCAGCGATCTTCCTGTATGGTTTTAAAGATAGCTACCAGTTCTTCTAGGCTCATGGCCTCTGGTATGTTATATATTTCCCTGTATTGTCCACAGAGTTTCATGAAGCAATGACATTTCAATGTCCTGAAAGGTTCCCCAAAACCTTGCGAAGTCTTGAAGTTGGAACAGAGGTTTTCGACTCTGCAGTACTGATACTTAGGGTTTGATAATTCACTGAGGAGTGGCTGTATTGCACATGGTGGGACATTTAAGACTGTCCCCCAAACAAGGCAGTACCAATGCCCTCCTGGCCAGCCATAGCACTGCAGTTATGAGACTCAAAAATAACTCCGGACACAGCCAGCCTTCACTTGGAGCATCAGAACGGTCTCCTCCCACTAAATCATTACGCTAGACTCTTCATTCAATCTAATCTGAAAACCTAATCCACTGTCAGGACATTTTAAAATGCTTCATAGGTATAGCTATGGATAAACTATTCATATATGGTACCAAAATGGTATGATTTCAGAAACTGGATATGTAAATAAACTGATATGAAAATAATAAGACAAATGAAGAAGTATAACCCTAAAACTAAAAGTGGAGGTTACATTACCATTATGGAACTCAGTATAGAGATTCTTCAAAAATAGGAATTCCATTTGACCCAGCTAGTCACCTTTGAGGTTTCTTCCCAAAAGAGTTAAAGGCATCGCATTACAGTGACACATGCACATCCATCTTTATAGCAGCACAACTCATAACAGCTACATCTTGGAAGCTGCCTGTATGTCTACCAGGAGATGAATGGATGAAGAACATGTGGCATTTACACACAGTGCAGCACAGCTGTGCCATAAAGGCAGAGAAGCCTGAGGCGTCTGTAGGACAATGGATGCACCTTGAGACCATAATGTTAAGTGCAACAAGTCAGACCTGCAAGCTTAAGTGTCACGTAGGTTCCCTTATATGAGAAACCGAAACTATAAATAAAGAGCAAAATAAAAGATGGATATAGGAAGCAAAGAGATAGATCAATTTGTCACAGGGAATGGGACCAAGAGGTAAGGAGAGGAGGAGTGAAGAGAGGGGGAAGGGGAAGAAAACACAATGAAGATGTGTTACAGACATGCACCAACTACCCAGGAGGAATGCAGTCCAGTGTACCGCAAACGTATTGATAAAAAAAAAAAAAAAAAAAAACAACCCTGAAAGATCCTAGGGTAAACATTTACCAGCCCACTATAGGAGTCACACGATTGATGGAAGAATCTGTAAACACTTTACTACCTAGATGCTCATGAAAGTACTGTTTGGAAAAGTAACAAAATATGAACAGACTGTATACTGACAAGGGAAGGCAAATAGCATTGTATATGGGTCTTATGGAACATTAGGTCGTGTTCAAAATGACATTTTAAAGCCATTCATGGCAGGGAGAAATACCTGCAACATACTGCTGTGAAAACAGCAAGATGTTAAATATGCAGAGTGGATACAAAGTTTCTCAAAAGACATAGCACACAGGAAAGAAGGCCAGTAAAATATTTATAGTGGCTATGGGCCTGTGTGGAATTATTTATGGTGTTAAAAGTCTTCATAGTTTCCTCTGTTTCTGGAATTTTCTTAATGAACTTTTGTGCTTTGCAAGTTTAGTGGCAGGGAAGAGGCATTCTAGAGAAAGGGCCTTGCGGGCAGTTAGGTGAGAGGTCAGGCGAGGACGCTTCAGAGAGAGTGTGTGATGGGACAGGACAATATTTATAAACCGAATCCCTCAGGCTTCCTGGGATTATTTCCCATAAAACAAGACTAGTTCTATGCTCTGGTCATGTCTGTTCCTCCAAATCAGTGATTCTCCCTTTAGAATGAAGAATCACCTGAGGTTTATCGGTGAACCCCAGACCGCTGGGCTCCAGCTGTCAGGGTTCTGATTCTGCAGGTTCAGAGTGGGTCTCACTAGGCACCCTGCTAGGGAGTCCTTCCATGGGCTGCATTTTCAGAAACACTGCTATAAAAAGCCACGTGGTTTGATTTGGACATTTTTTTTTTTTTTTTTGCCTCTATTTTTTTTTTTTTTTTTTTTTTTTTTTGGTCTTTTTTCCTTTTTATCGGTACCAGGGATTGAACTCATGACTGCCTGCTTGCAAGGCAGGCGCTAATGCCGCTGAGCTAAATCCCCAGCCCCTTGCCTCTATTTTTTGACAGAAGTGCTGAAAAGAATTACTGTACACCGCAATGATATATTGGTGAACTGGACCTTTGCACCTGCCAATTTCTGTGTTGTAAAGATCCTCACCGTGGCCCAGTTCAAGTTAGTAATGTTTTAACAACTAGCTCATCAAATTTTTGGAAGTTCAACATTCTTATAAACTGGCCCTAGTTGGTTCTAGTACCGTACATTATTTATTTTATTTAAAATCTTCCAATACTGTGAAAATGGGATATGCTATGCAAAACTGAATTATGACTGCTAAGATGGAACAGTTAGTTAATAGGACAGTTTGAATCACATCAAGGGAAAACCTTCAACTGTATCAGGGGAACAAGACAATGATAGCTTTCCTCACTATTTCCTATTTATCCTAGTATTTCTTCAGGGCTCTACCACGCAGTGTGACACACTAGCTGAGTACTTTGAGAGCTTTATGCTGGTTTCCTAGGGATGACAGTCAGCCACAGAACAGGACCCCAGGCTTGGGAGCAAGGCCACGTGCTCAGCATCGGCCTCCAGCCTCCATGGCCTAGCCCCTGAGCGATGCATGCCCTTGGCCACTGACTCCATGGCATCCAGCCATTAAATCAGCTCCTTCAGCCCCTTCCTGGAGCGCACGATGGAGACAGTGTCATCTGAGAAAAGCCCAGTAAGATGTGTTTTATGTGCTCACGTGTGGGGAATGGTTTTGGTGCAGGCTAGTAGTACAGTTCTTTCAATATTTTGACCAGATGTATTTTAAGAAAATTGGACCTGAAGTCTATACAGCCAGCTGAGGTGAATTTACAGCCCTGCTTTTAAGAACAGAACTCCCTCAGGCACCTGCTTCCTCAAGGCAAAACCAGAAAGGAAATGAACTCTTGCTTGAAGACAACCCACCTTATTTTATGGGTTATCAATTTTCTAGCTGGCACAGAGCTCCCCAGCTACTGTGAATTTTTTACCCCCATTTCAAGCAAGTTCAGAGTTGCACACACACACACACACACACACACACACACACACACACACACACATATCAAGTCTGCATTTAGCAAAAGGCACAGTTTCCTGAAGCTACAACATAGGGTGCAGTCTCAGTAAGCCGAGAAGCCGAGTCAGGAACAACCAACACCCATGGCCACGACGTTGACCCTGTTTGGAGACCGAGCACCCAAACTGGAAAGCGAAACCACTCACTTATCACGAAGCCTATGCGGCGTTGAACTTGAATGCTGAGGTCTTAATTTAGGAACAAACCCAGCTGTCATCCAAGCCCAGCTGCGCGGTGGCGCTGAGAGTATATGGACCGCGGGGGCTCCGCGTGCCTGTCTGCCACGCGCGTCAGGCCCACCACGTGGCAGTGTTTGCCGATGCCTGCAGGCAGCCTGCGCCCGAGCTCCATTTCCCACCCCAGCACGGCTGCGTCCTGGGATGTGGTGGAGAACGCCTTTTCTGGCTTTGCGGTAGCCCTGCCAGGTGGACAGCCAACAGTCAGGTTGAACTCCTGACTCCTTCTAGTGGTTCTGGGGACACTGGCATGGAGCGTATCAACCTCTCTCAAAGGAAGAAGGACTAAGCAGCCCTTTTCCTCACCACTGATAGTCAGCAGGCACAGACTACAAGATGGGGTCAAAGGTTAATAGTAGATACTCCTGGACTGCTACGTGCTAAAAAACACAACAAACAGATGTGATTTTTTTCATACACATATTAGAGCAACAAAATAAACACAAGATCTGCCTCTAAAAATTATTAGAACTAGTGCAACTTAATATGTGAGCAAAAAGTTGGATAGATCTGACTTCCTATGAAGCCAGAGTTACCACTCAAAATTAAATGCTAGTTTTATCACCCGCTCAGGCTTGCTTCAAGCTTTATCTCACTGGGAAAGCAAAGAATTCTGAGGAGAAATCTGAATATTCAATTACTAGTTTCAAAACCTGACGTTTACACATCCTTCTGGGGGAAGCGCCAGCTCTAAACTGAAGGTAGGAAGGACCTCCAGTCCACATGGACATTCTGCTCCTCTAAGAGAACTGAGGCCTGCCAAATGTCATCGTTCGGGAAGGAAGCCAGCCCTTTCACAGAGGGCCACCAACTTCCAGCCTGCTGATAGCTAATAAAAGACAGTGGCTTTTAAAAAATGAAGGACTCTCCTTCTCAGATTATGCCATCCACAGGGGTTCAGCAGAATAAAATCAGGGAGGCACACAATGACCTGTCACAAGTCAGGATGAGACAGCTGGGGAACCTGACTGCTCCGAACACCAGTATCAAAATGACCTTTGGATTAAAAGATAACAAGTTTGTCAGTTAATCCACAGGACAAGCGCGCAATGACAGAATCAAAGCTGAGAGTGGCCTAGCATGGACTCAGAGGGAGCGCTACAAATGAACACCGCAAGCTGGTTTCTTCTTCAGGATGAAGCTCAGGGTGCCCACACAGCCAGGTAGTTTGCTAGAAGCAGTCGCCACTGTTTGCAGCGAGAACCACGGGACACGCAAGCCATGAGCTTGCAGGACGCGGGCTCGGCCGTGGCCCTCAGCTCACCGTGCGCGCTCCGCCTCCCGCGGCTCCGGCTCCTCGGGGCGCGGGCTCCCCGGCTTCGGGCCTCCTTTCTGCTCTGCTTCGCCTCGCTTTCCGTCTTTCTTCTTGCCGAATCTGCAGGAAGAAGGAGAAGGGGAACGCTAGTTACGCTGTGTTGTTTTTGGAGTAAATCCATGATGTACATGCGACGGACTCAATAAGCCTAAGTGTTTATTTAAAGTCTAACAAGATCAGGGCATTAAAATGGAGACTAAATAAGGAGAGCAGAAAAGTGATGCAGGATACCGAGGTTCCCTTTTCCTGTTTGACTTTGGGAAGGTTTGTTATGTAAAGGTACAAGATCACAGGGTGAAAAGATTAATCATTTTTAATTGCTAATTCAGTAGACGGTGAAAAACATACAGATTATTCTTAATATGCAACTGAAGACAGACAGATTTTCCTTTTCATTTTTTGTGTAGTCGTGTTAGTGTGTATTGCTGGTAGAGAAGAGCGGGTTTCATTTTGGTGTGTTTGTATGAGCATGTAACATATTTTGGGTAAGCCTCACACCCCCTTTAGCCTCCTTGCCATTCTTTGGTCAGTTTTCACACATGACCCTTCCTCTTCCCTCTTCCTTATTCCCTTCTTCTTCTTTCATTTCATCTTTTTTTAAGATTCCCTATATGAGTGTGGCTTATTTTGCTTACCATGATAATCACCAGTTCCACCCATTTTCCTGCAAATGACAAGAGCCTGTTCTTCTTCAGGGCTGACTAGTACTTCATTGTGTGTATCTACACAACATTGGCCATTCATTGGTTGGGTTATTTGTGAAAACTGACCAATTTTCTAAACAGGCCTGTGGTGCTCTAATGCCACCATAATTAACATTAAATTCATAGGATGACACAATGACAGGAAGCCAAGGAACCTAACTGAGCATCCCTTCAAGACTTTCATCTCAGCACTGAAGAATCACGTGCTCTGGGGTAGGGATGAGCCTTAACCTGCCCCCACCAGTGCGAGTCAGGGATGCAGCTGAGATGAGATTCGACCAGGGGCTGAGATGAGCCCTGACCCCTCGGCTACTGCCTTTCCCACAGGCCTCTTCTGCTCTCTTAACTTAGGCACCCACTCCCCGAGTTGCTGTGTGTGATAGACGCGGCAGGTAGATCTGTAGTTAAATGGGCACAGTAGCAGTTAGCACAGTTTGCAAGTAGCTCATCTGTCCCAACAGGTTAGGGAAAATGAGAACCGCACATTTGAAATGAAATGATTATTAGGACGGAACTTCCTGTGACAAGCGTTTTTCCCAGGAGGCATTTTCTCCCCTGATCCCAGTAGCAGTGCATGTGAAGAAAGAGGATGACTTGATGTGCTGTGGAAAGCTAGAGGTAAAATGTTGCGCAGTTATATGTATTCTTCAGTTAAACCTATGAAAATTCCCTTTTCTCCTTTTCTTATTTAGTAGCAAGTTTTAATTGCGTGTCGCTCTAGCTCTATTATTCTGCTCATCCTTCCATTTAACATCTATGCATCCATCTATGTGTCTACCTAAATAACTTGGAGAGATATTTCCAATTAGCCATTGTTGGGCTAGCTCTATAACTCACAGGCAAGACATGAGAATCTTCTCAGCTGACGACCTGACAATAAGAAAATTCTATACTCTAACCAGCTAGAATAATGACTGACACAAAATGAGCTTGTATTTCTACCTTCTTTGGAAGCCTATACATTTACACCTTTCAGGTTTGTGTTTCAGTTGCAAAAGAGGTTTTTAGTCAAGTGGTCACTGTGGGTACCACACCTGGGAGATGTCACTGTCCCTGCTAACATTCAGAGTCCTGCTGCCATCACAGTACAGACTGCTCCCTGTTTTCCCGGAAGCCTCTCCCAGCTTGACCTCTCTGCCTATTTCTCAATTACAGTTTTGATTAGTGAGTCCTTTCTTATGAGCCTTCTCTCTCTCCACCTACCTCTACTTCTTCTCAAATGTTCTTGCTGTATTTGGTCTAGTTTTGGGACCCTGGTCAAGGAATTATCATTTAGCTCTAACTTGCCAGATCACTTACCCTTCTTTTTCTCTCCTTTTGCCTCTTTTTCTGAATCTGTTCTTTTTTCTCACTGAATAAGTGATATCATTTATAGAAGTAACTATGGAATAGAGAAAAACCCAGACAAAAATTAGAGAACTTCAGCTTTCAAGTGTGGTTCACAAGTGCAGATACATTCAAGTCCTCTCTTTAGCCTACAAAGCACAGGCACCCTAGAAATGTTTCCAGGAAATACATTGTTTAGCTTTCCAGACCCATAAAGGGACTTAGGAATCAACATTTTTATTCTGAATATATTCACGGGAGAAGTTAATACCTTAGTACATCATTTAAATAAATTGCTTTTTCCAAAATTGCATTGGATTTCAAAATAATTTGGTATAAATTCAAAATTGTGGGAGTCAGGGAGAAATGATGCCTCAGAATGTTGATGAGGGGGAGATTGTTGCCAAAGCTACAGCTTCACTTTTTTGTTCGCCATGTCATATGTATTTTTTTTTTTTTTCTAACCTTGGAAGCTTGGCTTTCTGAGATGAAATTTAGCCTTGTTTTTGAAGGGCAACCTAACCTATTCCTAGACCACATTGATCTTTATTGCTAGACCCCATAGAGAATTTTCCCTTAGGGCACCTAAAACATTTCACTTGCCCTGCAGTTAAAGAATAGCATGCTATCCTTCTACCATACTGAGATACGTCTGATAAAGAATGTTTGTAGTAAATTCTACAAAAAGTTTCCTTTTTAATAAGGACCATCAGTAAGTGAATCAATTACATAAATACTATAAATGCTTTGATTTAAAGGTTCATCACCTACTTTTTAATTTTCTTTATACATGGACAGAAATGCCTATAAAATTTATTTTGTTAAACATACAGAATGATTATGAGTTACCTTTTTTTTACAAAGTTTGGACAGTTTTAAGAAGAGAATGAAAAAACGATAATCTTCCAAAGCACCCCCACACTGTTACGATGAGGAAGGTGAGAGAGAAGCTAGTGGATTTTATTTATGACCAAACCGAATTCTTCTTCCAGTTTTACAAAGAGAAAGCTTAATCCTCAGTGGTGGCGGGGTGACAGCACAGGTAGGAGCATCAAGGGGAAAGAATCCATTTGCTCACCTTACAGCCTTTGTTCTCTCCCCACAGCAGCCCTTGGGGCCATTTCACAGCCACCCCCCCTTCCCTCTGATGCAGAAGGAGACTCGGAGACTCTGCTCCCCATCAGCTCTGTCTGTGGAAAGTTAGGAGCAGCCTGACTGGCCGCAGTCACGGGGTATCAAATATCCTCTGCATTCCAGCCAGCATTATCTATTACCTTAGAAATCTGACAGCTGGCCTTGGTGGGCGAGGTACCTGAAGACAATTGTGTATAGGTCAACCTTGCTTTATAGAACAGATATTTTCCTGAAAAACTCTGTGCAAACATGTGGATTCAATCAATAAAATCCTACTTTATAGGTACCTGGATAGCCTGTGTAAAGAATCATATGATGGATCTTTTTATAAAGTAGAAAAATTACCTTTCAACATATTCTTTATGTAAATTTAGATTTTTGTGAATTATAAGTTTGCATAAAACACCTGCCCCTGTCATTTCTGTAGAGGATATATCAAACTGGAAAACTTTCTCTTTTTGTTTGATTTATTTCCTTCCTTTTTTTCTTTCTCTCCCTTTCTTTTTCTTCCTTTCTCTCTTTTTCTTTTTCTTTTCTTCCTTCTTTTATTAATTCTTTTTATAAAAATTAGTCCTTTACTTTGCCACACAACTTCATGTAGGTTGGTGTTATGCTGAGAAAAAAAACCATACAGTGCCCTCGTGGACTTTATATTCTAACAGCGCACAGTAACCACGCAAGCATAAATATATCACTGCAACTGGGAAGAAAGGCAGCAGGAGGTTAGGAGAGACTGGGAAAGGCCGCATGTAGTGAAGCTGCACTATTTAAGCTGAGAACTCGGGGTGGGAGTCTCCAGACGGCAGAGGCAGACAAGCTTGTGGCTGTAGAGGTGGCAGCACACAACGCAGTGGTGGAAAGGCCTGGTGCTTTCCTAGGAGCAAGAGAAGACCAGGCGGGCGCGCTGGGAGGACAGCCTGGCGTTGTGTCCAAGACGCGATGGAGAGGAGTTAAGGGTTCATCTAAGAGCAATGGAAGATAAGTTCTCAGCAGTTTAAGGCACAGAGAAGCTATATGGAGAAGTTGGTAGGTTTAAAGAGTTGACAATGGAGAAACAGAAAGTATCCAAGTCCTGTTCAGCAGACGGATAAAATGTTATGAGAGTTGTAAAATGGAGACTCTGGTCATCCTGGTCAGTAAAATGAAAAGGCAGAAGCTAAAAGGGGCAAAATAAGTAACTACATTAAGGTAACTGGGACTACTGCGGGAATATGGGTGAAAGGTGACGGTGGCTTGGGCTAGAGAAACAGCTGCCAAGAGAGAGCCGTGGTTGGCACGGGTGAGTCCATGGAGAAGCAGCAAAGTTCAGCGTGAAACATGGTAGTATAGCAGGCCTTTGGTGAACCCCAGAGCCCTGTCCCAGGCTGGGACCTATTGCTAAAGAGCCACAGGTCTAAAGGATGGAGAAAGAGGTCGGTGGATACAAAAGGTGAAGGACAGTCACAACGAAAGGAGGAAAGTCGGGAATCTAAGAAGAGCACTGCCAGGAGAATGTGGTCAGCAGGTGGGACCACTGTGAGGTCACCGGGGTGGAGAGACTACACGGCACCCAGAGACCTCACAGTCCCGGGACGTGCGTGGGGGAGGTGTGACAGAGGCGGGCGGGCGTGGTCCTAGAGGGCCAAGGCCCTAACGTGAAGTGAAACACAGCAGACACGCAAGTTTAAAAGTACCTGGATTCTCTCCTATGAGAAGCCCAACTGTAAAGAAAGAGCAAAAAGAAAGACTGGTATAGAAAATAGGGTGGTAGATCTTTTGCAAATGGGAGAGGACCACCTGAAAATGTGTGACTGACATACTCCGACTCCCCAGGGGGAATGCAATCATTATGTGCTGCAAACATGGACAAAAACCAAAAAGCTTATAGAAGTCAGCGTCTACAACTATTTCAGGAAG